AACATTTTTTAAATTAAACAACTTATAAAAGTATTTGTTATAAAACATGAAGATATTGATTGCTCCGAGTCGAAGACTGGGAGTGATCGATTTCTTTATGTTTTATAATAATTAAAGATTACCGATTGATGAAATCATTATTTTATATTATAAGAAAATTTTTATTCTAACTTCTTCAAAAATTATTTTCATCATTTCAATTCAATTATTTTCTAGAATTTTTAATTATTTTTTATGAAAATAATTGAATTTCTGTGAAATTTTTATTATAATGATAATTGGGATTTTTTTCAACTTTTGAACATAGTTGAATTTTATAAGAAGAATTTTATTTATTGTTTTGAAAATAATAATTGAATTTCTGCAATTATTCGTAATTTCTCCTAAATTGAATTTTTTTTAGTGTTTTCAACAGAAATTTTAATTAGAAAATTTTTTAATTCTATTATTTTTAAAATTGCTAATTTTATTTAAAAAAAAAAGGTAGTAAGAAATTTCTAGTTTGAAAATTGAAAAGAAAAATAGAGAATGAAAAATAAAAAAAAACATTTAATGAAATGTTTGATAATGATATAAATTCCGAAATGAATGTCACATTTTAATAATAATGACTCAAGTTAGAAATTTATACAGACGCATTTGAATTTGATTAAGTTTATTCATATGTTTATAGAGTGAGAGCACTATCAAAAGTTGAAACTCTGAGCATTAAATGAAGCAAGCAGGCAGGCAGATGTTGACAGTTAGTTTAAAATATACAGCACAAAGCTTGATCATGTCGAATTGAGTATGAAGATGAAGTGCATACAAAATGCTAAACTGGTCTCCTTGTTAAACTAACAAAACAAAAGTAGAATGCGCCTTTATATGCAATTGAATTCCCCAATGTCAAGGAGAATACAAATGTGTAGAAGACGATTCTTGAAGTGGCTGAAATTGTCCCCTTCCCCCCCCCTCTCTCTCTCTCACTCTCCAAAGATTGAATCACAATTTTTTTTTTCGTCATTTTCTATCTTTTTTTTGCCTTTAAAGAATCTACAAAACAATTATCGTTCTTTTCTGCAATTCTTGGGGAAGAAAAGTAGTCTAAGAGTTGGGAAAAGAATGAAAAGTTTTCTCGAGTGGACCAGATTTCAAGAACTTGTAAAAAGCTAAGACTATTGTATTTTCGTTGAATGAAGATGAATTGATCGAATATATATGTATATATATAGAGAGAGAGTGGGAGAAAAGGAGAGAAAAAAAGGGAGAGAGAGAGAAAGAAGAAAATAGATATCTGTTAGGGAAAAAATAGTCTTTTAACTTTAGACAATTTTTTTTATGCTTGTCTTGAAAGGCTTTTCTTGAAAAAAGGATTTAAAAAAAGAAAAAACTAATTTATATTAAATTTAAAAGAAATTAAATAAAAATTCAATAAATATTATTAATCAATTTGTTGAGTTAAAAATTGTCAAATTAAATATGAAAAATCATTGAGTAAAGATTGAATAAAAATTTCTAATTAATTGTTCATTTAAATATTTTGTATTTCCAGTGGAAATTATAAAATAAAAATTCGCAGTGAAATTTATTAATTATTTATTGATTTAAAAATTTGCATTTTAAATGGAAAATTATGAAATGAAGATACAATAGAAATTATTAATTAATTATTAATTCAAAAATTTGCATTTTAATTGAAAAATCATAAAATATAGACTCAGTAAAAACTACTAATATTAATTATTGAATCGCAAAAAAATATGTACCTTAAGTAAAAAATTAATAAACGAACAAAATTAATATTATTAATAATAAAGAAAAAGGTCCGAAGGAAATAATTTATTATTCATTTAAAAATTTGCATTTGAAATAATCAATAATCAAAATGTTTGATGAAAATAAATAATTATTTATTGATTCAGAAAATACGTTTTAAATTGAAAGTAAATAAATCTCGAATAGAAATTTAATTTACCATATAAGAAGAAAATAATAAAAAATAAAATACACTTAAAAAATAATTATAAAACGACTTTTTGACGAAATTCTCTTTTTTGAAAAAGTAAACAGAATTTTATTCCAATCCATCAAGTAATGTAGGAGAATATTTACAAGCGGCATCACGTATTCTAACAGTGACATATCCTAAACAAACTAATTTCTAAAATATCCCATCCAATATTTTTTTAATACATTTTAAACACATTACTTTTTACATATTGGGTGGGAAAAATTGAAAAAAAAATTCAATTATTTAAATAAGGTTTTCTAAAAAAAGAAATTGTTAATTTTTGAAAGAGAAAGAAGTCAATAGAAATGTTATTCTAATTAATTGCTAATTCTAAAGTAACTTGACCTTGAGATAATTAAAACGTTCATCAGTGAAAAGTTAATTAATTGGCTCTGACGTTGAAATGAGAAAGGGTCACGATTGTTATTCAAATACTTGACTCGATCGTTCTTTTTTTCAAATCTGATTAAGCAATAGGGAATTATAGAAATTAAATTCATACATTTAGATAGATTTTCACATTATTTCCTTTTTTAGTTAATTACCTATTTTCTTTTTATTTAATAAAAATTCTTTTGATCGATTTTTACATTTTTCACCTTTTGGTTAAATATCTCTTAATTTTTCTTCAGTTATAAAAATTGTTATTAGCGTTTTGAATATTTTTTTTCTGTCAGTAATGCCAAATTTAATAATTTTACCAATCTTCTATTCTATTAACAATGTTTAACTAATTAATTTATTAATAGTACAAAATTCTTTACAATAATTACTTTTTTCAAGTAAATTTAATTATTGTTTTAAAAGTGAACCTTTTTTTGTAGAGTTAATTTTAAATTTGCAATTTTGAAATCTAATTAAATACATTGTAGCAAAACTTCTCTGCTACTAAATTAATTATGTTCAAGTTGGAAAAGAGCCAAAAATTGAAATTGGCTACTTTTCTCAAAATACTTATTTATATGGAAAAAGTATTTTGTAATTAAAAGATTTTACTTAATAGTTTTTATATTTTATTGCATAATAAATATTTGTACTTAATCACTTATTCATTACTATACTATAATAAATAATTGTAAATATTAATTTATTAAATAATAAATACGATATTAAACTATAAATATAACTAATAATTAATTAATTATTAATCACATAATTTTCTTTTTACGCCTATTTGAATATTAAGTAAATAAATATAGGTACCAAAAAATTTCTTAATAAGAATTATATTTCATAATATCTATTTCATTTTATTTAATAATAGCATGAATTTAATTATTTTCATAAATAATGAAACTCATCGAAGAATTTCAATTATTTTTATTAAAATTTTAAATTAATAATCGAAAAATTCTGTTATTTTCACAAATAAAGTTTTCCACAAGAATTCAATTATTTAAACTAATAAAATTTTCATTATATTTATTATATTTGGAAAAAATTAATTATTCAAAACAATGTTCAAAAAATTCTTGTGAAGAATTCAATTATTTTCAAAAATAATAAAATTTTTCACAGAAATTCAATTATTTTTAAACATTTTAATAAACTTTTCGGCAATAATTCAATTATTTTCAAAATTAATAAAATTCTTCTCTGTAATTCAATTATTTTTGAGAATTATAATAAAATTCCTAGCAACTATTCAATTATTTTCATAAATTTATAAAATGCATAGCAGGATTTAAATTATTTTTAATACAATTTTACAGAAATTGTTTAAAAAATGTATATATTCTTTAAAACTTAATTTTAATTCCTCGAAAAAACCAATTAATTAAAAAAAAATGTTTTTTTAATATTGTTTGCAAGGATTGAATAATTATTTTTGAAAATTTAATAAAATTATTCGAAAGAAAGTAATTGTTTTAAGTACAATTTTAATTAAACTTTTTTGAAATAATTCAATTATTTTTTTAAATTTTAATAACATTTTTTTGATGAATTCTATTATTTACACAAAATTTTTCGAAAGAATTCAATTGTGTCAATAAATAAGAAAATTACTTCCGAAAATTCAATTATTTTTAGGTATTTTTTTAATAAAATTCTTTTCAAAATTCAAATATTTTCATAAATAACAATATTCATCACAAAAATTCAATTATTTTTAAAAATAATAAATTTCTTCTTGAAAATTCCATTATTTTAAAAAATTCTAATAAATCGTTCGCAAGAAATCAATTATTTTCATAAATAATAAAATGTTTTTTAGGAATTCAATTATTTTCAAAAAAATTTAATAAAATTCCCCACAGACATTCAATTATTGACAAATTTTTTAATATAATTCTTTGTAAAATTTAATTATCTTTAAAAACTTTTCGCAATTCAATGATTTTCAATATCTACTATTTTTATAAAATTTCCAAATAGAATTCAATTATTTAAAAAATGGTTTGTAAAAATGTTTGTAAGAATTTAATTCTTTTCATGAATAATAAAAATTGTCATCATTACAATTATTTAAATTAGAATTTGCATCAAATTATTTAAAAAATTTTATAAAATTCTTGGAAAGAATTAAATTATTTTTTATGTATATTTTAAATTCTTTCATGAATAATAAAATTCGTAGCAGGAATTCAATTTATTAGCAGCATAAGAAAAAAGTAAATATTTTTGATGAAAATTAGGAAAAATTCAGGAAAATAAAAAAATGGAATGGAATTTTTGTCAATTTTGTGAAGTGAATAAAACGAGTATTTTTAGTTTCTTTGACATTAAAAAAAAAATGACAATAACCCACAAAAATTAATTTTCAAAACAAACAAATGAATGCAGAGAATTTGCTAACAGAAATATTTAATCTAAGAATTAGAGCAAAATAAATTAAAATCCGAATAAAAACTTTAATTTACAAATATTGGATTAATTTATAATATTTAATAATTAATCAAATTGATGTAAAAAATTTTTGTTCTCTCAAAAAGAAAACAATAATATTTTGCAATTTGCGCTGCTGTTTTTTTTTGGGTCTTTAATGCAAAATATTTTTCTTTTATAGTTAAACGGTGGATCCTGGGAACTGGGGGAGATTCTTTGCATAGCTTGGGTCTCGTTGGATGTTCTCCTATGTACTGCCAGTATCCTGTCCTTGTGTGCCATATCTATAGATAGGTAACTAAAAGGGATCTGTGTTTACAATTCTAGCACGTGTCGATAACGATATAACGAGAAAAAGCGCTTCCTCTATTGGAAATTGTTTGAACACCTCGTGTAAATAAATTCCGTCAAATATTACATGTTATAAAGGTGAAAAAAGAAAGAAAACCGGGCAATATATATGCGGCATTCATTTTTAAATTTCACCTCTCAAAAGCTTTCACCATAAAGAATTTTATAGTTTCAAATTTTTTTTTCTCACTGTTTACCCTCTATGATGAGGGTGCGAGAGAAAATTTTGAATTATACTTTAAATTTCTCAACTATTTTGCAGATAATTTTTTAAACTACTTTACGGATAATTTTTAAACTACTTTATTGACAATTTTTTTGAATTTGTAAAATTATTATTGTTATTATTGTTAAAAAAAAATTAAAACTCACCGATCGATGATTGACTTGAAAAAATAGTAACAGGATAATTCGAAGTCCGTCGGCAGACTCCTACTTAATATCTGAAAGCAAAACGCAATTATATTTTTTTATTTCTTTTCAAACTTAAATATATTTTTTTTAATTCACTATTTTTTATTTGAAATAGAATTTGAAAACAAAATTTTTTCCTTCCTTTAAAATTAAAATAACAAATTTGAATATTTCTTTATTATTTGAATAGTTTTTTATTATTTGTATAATTTTTAGTTACATTTTTTAATTTAAATAAAATACTTTTTTTACTTTAAATTTGTTTAAAAGGGTTTTTTTAATTTGTTCAAAAATTTTTAAACTTGATTCAAATTTATTTGAAGAGTGTAAAAATTGTTTGAAATGTCTAAAAAAAAATTTTAAAGTTTATTTAAAGAGTTTAAAAATTGCTTCGAATTATTATTCGAAGAGTTTAAAACTGTTTTTAAATAAGTTTACGAAATAAAAATATATATTTTTTAAATTAATTTGCAAAAAATAATAAAAAAGTATTTTATATTTTTTTTTTTTGCAAAAGATGAAAAATACAGTTTAAATTTTTCTCTGTCACAAATTAAAAATACAGTTTAAATTTTTCTCTGACATTAATTAAAAATAAATTTTCAATTTGTTTATAGAAAACTAAAAATCAATACATTTTCAATTGATTTTCAAACTTATTTTCAAAAAATACCCAAAGTTGAATGTTTCCATCTGAAAAATATTTTAAACAAAGATTCTTTGAAAATTTGTCAATAATATTAGTAAATATTTAATTAAATTCAATAAATTAAAAAAATTGTAGAATAAAGTACAAAATGAAAGAAAATTAAAATTAACAGTTTGATGTTAAAGTAAACAATAGAAAATAATGGAAAATAATACAAACACAGTTTTCTTAAAAGTTAAAAGTATTAAATTAGATCAAATTGATGCCAAAAATTTTGATCAATTTTAGTCTTAAATAATAAAAATATTTCAAATAAAAATTTTTTGAGAAAAGTTATTAATTTCTTTTTTTTCTTTTTTAATTGCTTTTAAAAATTTTAGGTATTTGGCTGTGACGCAGCCTTTAATCTACAGTAGACGACGAAGAAGTAAAAGACTGGCGGCATTGATGATCATTGTTGTTTGGTTTGTGGCCGGGGCCATAACAAGTCCACCATTATTAGGTTGCTTTCCACAGGCAACAAATCGTGATAGCACAAAATGTTCATATAACATGGACTCATCGTACGTAATATTCTCAGCAATGGGCTCCTTTTTTCTTCCCATGCTGGTCATGCTCTACGTTTACGCCCGGATTTCCTGTGTTATCGCTGGAAGACACAGAAATTTGGAAGCAACTGAGAGCGACAATTTTCGCCGTCGACGGCCACTTTTGGTAAGAGAGAAAAAAATCCCATAACATTTACAAAAATAAAAAAACAACAAAAATTCCTAAAATAAATAAACTAATAGAAAAAACTCAAATTTTTTTTTTTACTTACTACTTTTTCTTATTTTATTAATAGTTTTTAGTTTAATTTATTTAAATAATAAAATAGGAAGAAATTGAAGAAAATAATAAAAAAAGTAAATAATAAAAGAGGAAAAAAAACAATTAAAAAAATAATACTAAGTAAAATAATAAAGTAGGAAAAAAGTAATAAAATTGCAAAAAAAAAATTGCAATAAATAATTATTTTTAATTTTTTCAACTACTTTGACATGAATTTGCACTTATTTACTTATATAGTTAGAGAGACTGGGTTCGCGTCAATTTAAAAATATTTGAAATTTCTTTCGATAAATTCCACTTGGAATGAAAAATTTTAATTAAAAATATTCTCTTGAAACAATATCATCGCGTTTTATATAGAACAATTGACGCGCAGTGACAGTATCAAGTATTTTATAAAATTAAAAAATATTTTAAACCTCACATTTGTTTGTTTTAATATTAAAAATTGTTTTTGAAAATCTTTTAACTATATTTTATTTTTGTTAGCTTCTTTTTTTCATATTGAAGTATTTTCTGAATTTAAAATTGAACTTTACATTTTTCTATATTATTTGAAATATTTAAATTTTAAATAAGCATTTTTTAAAGTATTCAAGTATTTTTAATTTTAATATTTTCAATGTTGCTTTCTATTTTCAAGATATTTTTTAAATTACTTGAATTATGAAACTTTTTTAATCCGAAACTTTACATTTTTTATCCATTTTTATTTTACTATTTTTTCACTTCTTTATTTGTTTAATATAAACGAGTGAAACAATATATTTTAAAGAATTTTTATTACATTTTTTTTAAATTTAAAAATCTATTTAGAGCAAAATTTGTTTGCATATAAATATAAAATGAAAAAAAAGGAATTTAAGTAATTAAATTCAAAAAATATTTTGTCTTTTTTATTTTTTTCCCTAAAAACTGAAGTATACGTAGAATTTTTTAATTTTTATGTTTAGTGCAACTGATTAGAAATGAATAATTAAAATTCTCTAATTGATTGTGAAGATGGGAGATAGTTCTTTATCGATTCGACAATAGAACAAGGGTTCATGAATAGACATTTTGATGTGTGTATCCAATAATAGCAGAAAATCAAGAATATGCATGACAGTAATATCGAGCGCCTTAATGGAAAATTCATATACCACTAATAACTGTGTGAATATCCAAGACAATAACTGAAATTACGAATGACCAAAATTAGTATATTTCGGTCATATTCGTAATTTCCATTTGGCTTAATTATTGTCCACATTGAGAAAATGAGTGCACTTTCCTTAAATTAATGCAAAATGGACCAATAACAATTGAAAATAATTAGAGTCAATTTTTCAAATTTTATTCTCGACATTGCTTTTATTTATTTATCTTTCTACTCAGCATGAAATTTAATGCATTTATACATGAAGAATTGAAAAAAACTATAAAATGCAATTTTTAATTTAAAAAATTTTTGAAAACAAATTTGCTTCACTTTATATTTATTTAACTACTAAAAATCAAATTAGAATAATTTTTTACCAAATTTCGGTAAACTAAAAATTTAAAATGTCCTGTTGGACTAATTATTGACCTATACTACTTATAGTTAAATTAGATACTCGCGTTTGCGCTCTGACTGATCAAAAATTTACCATACTACTGAATGTATAAACTATAAAAAATAAAATATAAACTATATTTATAAATAAATTTATAATTTAAAATTATTTGCCTGACTTAAACAGCCTTCTACTACTGATAAAATGACAATTTTCTCTGACTGTGTACTAATATTTTCACTATAGTTTGAAAAAAAACTGAGAATAAAAATAATTAAAGTCATTGCGTCTGACTAAAATTTTTCTCTACCACTTTTATGTAACTTAAAAAGAATATAGTAAGTTTTGATTTACTTAAAAAATTGTTACTACTTACTTTTTATTTTTTAATAGGAAAAATTAAATTAGTCTTGTCTGACTTGATTTTGATTTATACTACTTAAATTCAAATTCAAAGAAATCGTTTGATTTAATATTGATTTTACTACTTAGAACTAAATGACAAAAATTATAAATAAGCTTGACTAAAAATTGCGCTTACTTTTAATTTTTTAATAGGAAAAAATAAATTAGTCTTGTCTGACTTAATTTTGACTTATACTCCTTAAATTCAAATTCAAAGAAATCGTTTTATTTAATATTGATTTTACTACTTGAAACTAAATGACAAAAGTTATAAATAAGTCTGACTAAACATTTAACTTACTACTTATTTTTTAATAAGAAAAATTAAATTAGTCTTGTCTGACTTAATTTTGACTTTTACTACTTAAATTCAAAGAAATCGTTTGATTTGCAATATTGATTTTACTACTTAAATTAAAATTTCAAGAGTTATAAATTTGCCTGACTGAACATTGCACTTACTACTTATTTTTTTAATACGAAAAATTAAATTAGTCCTGTCTGACTTAATTTTGACTTATACTACTTAAATTCAAATTCAAAGAAATCGTTTTATTTAATATTATTTTACTACTTGAAACTAAATGACAAAAGTTATAAATAAGTCTGACTAAACATTTCACTTACTACTTATTTTTTAATAAGAAAAATTAAATTAGTCTTGTCTGACTTAATTTTGACTTTTACTACTTAAATTCAAAGAAATCGTTTGATTTGCAATATTGATTTTACTACTTAAATTAAAATTTCAAGAGTTATAAATTTGCCTGACTGAACATTGCACTTACTACTTATTTTTTTAATACGAAAAATTAAATTAGTCCTGTCTGACTTAATTTTGACTTATACTACTTAAATTCAAATTCAAATAAATCGTTTGAATTAATATTGATTTTAATACTTGGAAATAAATGACAAAAATAAGCATGACTAAAAATTGCACTTACTTTTTATATTTTAATAGGAAAAATTAAATTAGTCTTGTCTGACTTAATTTTGACTTATACTACTTAAATTCAAATTCAAAGAAATCGTTTGATTTAATATTGATTTTACTACTTAAAACTAAATGACAAAAATTATAAATAAGGCTGACTAAAAATTTCACTTACTACTTATTTTTTAATAAGAACAATTAATTTAGTCTTGCCGGTGAGAAGTAATTAAATTTCACTTAAATGAATGAATTATTAATTAAATTAATTAAATAAATCTAATTCTTTTTAATAAATTAATAAATTTTTAAAAAGTTCTAAATAGAATATAAAAAAATTCTAATGAATTCAAAACAAAACACTTTACTTCTTTAACAATTTTTTATTCTTTTGTCCAAAATTTCATTCTGTATTCTAAATAGAACATTTATTATTTATGTGAATTATAAACTATTTATCACATTTATGTAGAGTAAAAAGAAAATGATTTATGCATTTTAAACGGGAAATTGCAATACAAAACGTGTTAACTGCTATAAAAAGTTTATAAAAAAAAAAAATTGTTGCTTTCTTGTCAAACCGTAGAAAATGGCAATTCCATAAAACGCTATTGAAGGTCGAAAAACATTTATCATCGTATCGTGCTTAACGGTTTCGAAAGATAATTCCTAAAATGTTACGACATTGATGGCTTTTTTTCCCTGTTTACCTATATATCTACGATATTTTTTTAGTTAGAAAAATCAAATATCGGTTATGTGAACAGAAAAGAATTTATCGACAAAAACAAGGTATGGAAATTTTTAAACGGGAATAACTGCAAATTTTATTGAAAAAAATTCATATTTGAGTTTTTAATTTTTTATATATTATTGGGGGGTCTTAATTTTCTTTCGGAATTCAAAATATATTTTCTTTTTAATTTAATAATAAAGAAAGCAAATAAAAATTAGGTGTTTAATTATTTCAATTTATTTTTCAATTAAACCGAACTCACACTAAATAGAAAGATAAAAAAGAAGAAGATCTCTCTCACAGAAAAACTAAATAAATGTCAAACTGGTTGAAAAAATTATTAAAATCATAAAATCAATAATAACTTATTTATATTATATTAATAATAATTTTGTTTATTTTTCATTAATTATTTTTTTTTTGTAATTTCGAGAAAATTGTAATTATTTTCCGTTATTTTCAGAGTGAAAGAACGAAAAGTATAATAAAAAAGAAGAAATCAGATGGAAATACGACTTCAGAAGGTACAAGTGACTCGTGCGATAAAGCACCGAGTCAAAATGAGATATCAACGACTTGTCGGAAGTTTGGAACAATTCGTACCCATCATCATAGCTGTATCAACAGGGTGGCGAGGGAAACGAAGACCGCTGGTACTTTAGCGGTGGTTGTTGGGGGCTTTGTTGCATGTTGGCTCCCATTCTTCATTCTTTATCTAATCACTCCTTTTTTACCTATGGAGCCGCCAGACCTTCTCATGCAGGCTCTCACGTGGTTGGGTAAAGTGCAAATTTTTTACAATTATCTCAAAATTTTCCCATCAAAAAAAAAATTTTTCCAATTTTATTTTTTGTATTATAATTATATTTTAACTATTTTTTTACTGTATTTTCAGTTTTTCATGAAACTTTCACTATCATTAAAAAAAACTTTTACTTTTCATTTCTTTTAAAATTTTTGATTTTCACATTCACTAAAAATGTTTTCACTTTCAATTTCAGCAACAAATACTGTCACTCAAAAAAACATTTTCACTTTAAATTTCAGTAACAAATACTGACACTCAAAAAAATATTTTCATAATCATTTCAAAATTAAAAAATTTCTAAGTAAAAGTGAAAATAATTTGAGTCAAAGTGAATATTCTTTGAGTGATAAGGGGAATTTTTTCAGTTAAATCAAAATATTCAAGTCAAAGTAAAAGTGAGAATTTTTTTTATAAGTAAAAATTTTTTCAGTGAAAGTGAAAATTTATTGAGTGAAAATCAAAATATTTGTAGTGAAAGTGAGAATTTTTCTATTGAGAGTAAAAACTTTTTGAGAAAAAGTGAAATTTAATTGTTTTTAGAGAAAGTGAAAGTAAGAATTTTCTAGAAAATTTTGAGTGATATTGAAAATTATTTATTGAATGTGAGAATGTTTTTTAATGAAAGTGAAAATTTTTTGTGTAAAAGTGGAAGGTAGAATTTTTTTTAGTGAAAGTAAAAGTAAGAATTTTATAGGAAATTTTTATTAAATGTTTTTGAGTAATTTTGGAATTTTTTTAGTGAATGTGAGAATTTTTTTTAATGAAAGTCAAAATTTTTTGAGTAAAAGTGGAAATTACAATTTTTTTAGAGAAAGTGAAAGTAAGAATTTAATGGATGAGAAAATTTTATTAATAAAAATTGAAAGTAGAAATTTTATATTAAAAGTGATATTTTTTTTAGTGAAAGTAAAAATTTATTACGCGAAAATAAAAATTATTATGGTAAAAGTAAGAATTTTTTTAATGAAAGTGAAAATTTTTTGAGTAAAAGTGAAATTTACATTTTTTTTAGAGAAAGTGAAAGTAAGAATTTTCTAGAGAATTTTGAGTGATATTGGAAATTTTTTAGTGAATGTGAGAATTTTTTTTAATGAAAGTCAAATTTTTTTAAGGGAAAGTGAAAATTACAATTTTTTTAGTGAAAGTGAAAATTTATTACGTGAAAATAAAAATTATTATAATGAAAGTGAGAATTTTTTCATTGAAAGTGAAAATTCTTTGTGTGAAAGTAAAAGTAAGAATTTTATAGGGAATTTTGATTAAATGTTTTTTAGTGATTTTGGAAATTTTTTAATGAATGTGAGAATTTTTTTTAATGAAAGTCAAAATTTTTTGAGTGTAAGTGAAAATTACAATTTTTTTAGAGAAAGTGAAAGTAAGAATTTAATGGATGAGAAAATTTTATTAATAAAAATTGAAAGTAGAAATTTTATAATGAAAGTGATATTTTTTTAGTGAAAGTGAAAATTTATTATGTGGAAATAAAAATTATTATAGTGAAAGTACAAATTTTTTTAATGAAAGTGAAAATTTTTTGTGTGAAAGTGGAAAGTACAATTTTTTTTTTAGTGAAAGTAAAAGTAATAATTTTTTAGGGAATTTTGATTGAACGTTTTTAAGTGCTTTTGTAAATTTTTGTAGTGAAAGTGAGAATTTTTTTTTAATGAAAGTGAAAATTTTTTAAGTGAATGTGAAAATTATAATTTTTTTAGAGAAAGTGAAAGTAAGAATTTAATGGATGAGACAATTTTATTAATAAAAATTGAAAGTAGAAATTTTATAATGAAAGTGATATTTTTTTTAGTGAAAGTGAAAATTTATTACTTGAAAATAAAAATTGTTATAGTGAAAGTAAAAATTTTTTGTGTGTAAGTGAAAGGTACAATTTTTTTAGTGAAAGTTAGAATTTTCTAGAGAATTTTGAGTAAAAGTTTTCGAGTGATATTCAAAATTATTTAATCAATGTAATAATTTTTTAATTTTTAATTTTTGTTTATCTATCATTTCTCGAATTTTTGCAAAACTTTCCACATCCTAAATAATTTTTTCTAAAGAAGTTTTTTTTAAAACTATAATTTTTAAAATAAAAATTTGTATTTTACAGAATTTTAATTTAGTTTCATAATTTTCATCTCACAGAATAAATTGTGTTTAACAGATTTTTGCTAAATAAAAATTTGGCTAAATAAAAATGAACTCAAATATTTTGAATTAATTTTAATTTTCTTGTATTTTTAAAAATTTTAATAATTTCTTTTCTGCAAAATTTCAGGTTGGATTAATTCGGCTATTAATCCGTTCATTTATGCCTTTTATTCGGCTGACTTTAGACTGGCTTTTTGGCGACTTACATGTCGGAAATGTTGCCGTAGTCGAACTCCATTAAATCAAGTCGATCGCAGTATTCCTCCACCTGCTAGTTGGCGGAAGGAAACATCAAAAACTTGAGTCCTGGAAACGAAAGTGTGATTTAAATTCTGAGAAGTGAAAAGAAAAAGGAAAAATAAAGAAAAATGTTTTTGATTCGTCGCTGAATAAAATGCTATTACAACTGTGATTCTTCAAAAAAAAAAAAAAAAAAAAAAAAAAAACGTGGTAACCGCAATCCCCCCTCAAAAGAAAATATCTCTATAGTTAATTAAAATAGTGAACAATATAAAACTGTTTTTATAAAAATCACTATATATCACGATTCACGATAAAAAAAAGAACAAACCGACTAATAAATTTTAACACCTTTAAAAAAAACTCCCCTTCAAAAAAATATCAAATAAAATTTTACTTTCTCATAAAACTTCTTAACACGTTTTCTAAGACATTTTTTACATTTGCAAACAAAATCTCATTAATGAGACACAATGCAAGAAAAATTAGGATAAAACTCAATAAACTAAAATAAATATATAGTGCAATGTTATTTAAATTCGTGAAAACGTGAATTAAAACAAAATTGCAACTAATTTCCGCTTTTTATATTCAAGAAATTTGTTTGTCAAAAAAATCTAATTCGTATGAAGAATGAGAATAAAACATTATAAATGAATTATAAATTGCACATGTGATATAAAAATGTATAAAAGAAAAAAATATTCGAGAAATTTGTAAAGAAGAATATGTGAGAGAATTTAAAAAAAAAATTTACTAAATATAAATAGGATTATAAGTAATGTAGACTTGTATTGATAAAAGAATGGACAGATGTTTTCTTTTATGTAAAATAATTGAAGAAAAAACACTTTTCATTGAAAATAATCGCAAAAAAAACAAAGTTGCCTGAATGAGAGTTAGTGCAGAAGTATGTAATATTCAGAATAAGGCAAATGAAAGATTTTTAGAAAAGTAAATGTGTAGTCTAACTCTTGACTATCAAATAATGAAAAGTATGGCTTTATGAAAATATAAACAGTCTTCTTTTATTTCTTTTCCCTCTTTTTTTATAATTGTTCCTTTCCCTTTTATTGTTAAATTCTTTTTTTTGTCTTACGATTTACGATTTACTTTTTTCTTACGAGAATTTAAAAAATCGACTTACAGAAGTACTTTTACTAATTTTTTTTAATAAAATTATGAGAATATAATATAATTTATTTATGTCTGACTTAGATTGGTTTTTACTACTTATACAGTAGTAGTTACAAAAAAAATTTAATACGATTTGGCACACCAACACCTTTTACTATTTATGTCATAAAAATTCAAGAATCTTTTAATATGTACTTGTCTGACTAAAAATGTACTCTACTACTGATATCCAAGTTCGAATTATTTTTTGTCTATTTTTACAGAAACAAAAACAAATTGATTTTAAATTGAATGTCAGTAGTACAATATAGTTTTAGTCAGACAAGTGAATAATTTTTACTTGTCTGACTAAAACTATATTATACTACTAACATTCAAATTAAAATCATTTTATTTTTCCGTATGTCATTATTGTAATACAGTTTTAGTCAGTCAAGAAAATATTTGTTACTTGTCTAATTAAAACTGCATTCTATAATAATAATAATTTTGAGTGGTTATTGATAAAATTTGTGTAATTTAGAAAGAACATAATATATTTTGACTGGTCTAAAAAAACTTTTACGAATGAATTTAAATTTTTATAACATTTTAATAATTTTAAATATTGTCTCCCTTAAGGCGTACTTGCGTTTGCGAAGGCAAAAAATGGGCCCCACATAAATATTTTTTTTTCACAGTCATTTTATTTAAAATATTAAAAACGATTTTTGCACCTTAAAGTACATTATAAAAACTAAAAAAAGAAAAAATTGTTTCGTTTTTTAACCGTTATTTACGATTCGTAGAGTGCCCCAAAAATTGTCGATCTCAAATTTGTAAGAGTTTGCGGTGCCCCGCATAGAGCCTCTCCTGACTGTCTAAAATCAAAAAAACAAAATTTATTCTTTAGTATACATTAATACCTAGTGGACTAACCTGATGAATTAAAAAAAAGTAAAAAAACGAAAATGCGGTACTTTTAAAGTCAAAAATTCAAAAGATCAAAATCATCATTTCTTAAAAATTGACTTTAAAAGTACCGCATTTTCGTTTTTTTTTTTACTTTTTTTTTAATTTCATCAGGTTAGTCCACTAGGTATTAATGTATACTAAAGAATAAATTTTGTTTTTTTTTTGATTTTAGACAGTCAGGAGAGGCTCTATGCGGGGCACCGCAAACTGTTACAAATTTGAGATCGCAATGTTTGGGGCCCTCTACAAATCGTAAATAACGGTTAAAAATCGAAAAAAAAATTTCTTTTTTTTGTTTTTATAATGTACTTTAAGGTGCAAAAATCGTTTTTAATATTTTAAATAAAATGACTGTAAAAAAAAATATTAAAGTGGGGCCTATTTTTTGCCTTCGCAAACGCAAGTAGGGGAGACCGGGGCGTAATGGCTAACTTTTCACTCTTTGTTGTTTTACTGGGACATTTTTGTTCTAATTGAATGTTTATCTTCCAGAAAATTTACTCTGGTATCTCAGCTTTCTTTTAAGACTACAAACGTCCCGATATGACTCTTACTTTTTATTCTACAACAGTTTTTCTGGAGCAATGCAGAGCTCCAAAATACGGCCCGAGTCGGGGCGTAATGGATAACTCCCGGGGCGTAATGAATAATGATTGCTAATTATTATCTACAGTTTCCAATCTTATTGCATATTGTAAATTAAGGTTCCTGGGTATTCCGTGAATGCTATTTTTATTCAGCAATACTTCAACTATCGCTTTTTCAATAATATTCTGTGATATTGGCACTCTCTCAATTTTTTTTGTAATTTCTCATTAAAATCGTAGCTTGAAATCTACTATTTGTAAATTTTAGACCAAAGCTTTAAAATTTTGTTAAAAATACCTAAACATACTTAAACTAAGTGACAAGCAATCGCGAAAACAAACCTACACTTCGCCGATATGGTAGGTTGCTTTTTATACATAGCGTATTGCATTAGCCAACACGCCCCGGGAAAAACTAGCCATTACGCCCCGGGGGTACTCGGCAAATATTTGGCTTTTTTTTAACAATACCGGAAGTGTGAATCAAAAATCTCGAATTGTCCCTTAAAAACAAACGTGTCAAGATCGAAACCTCATTTCAGTTTTTTTTTTAAAGCTATTTTTGAAAAAAATAGAACGAAAAAACGAAAATTTTGAAAAGTTACTTTCGTATGTCAAAAATAGTTTTTCTACTATATTTCTTACAATAATGAATAAATATTAATGAAACTTCCGACAAACTTGCAGTATACCAAGTACAATAACTTGTCTATTGTGCGAAATTATTACAATTTACGGTTTTTAAACAAATTACAATTATTCATTACGCCCCTTAGCCATTACGCCCCGGTCTCCCCTACGCCTTAAACTGTTTTATACTACTTGCTACTCAGTAGCTAGTAATGCATCTGACCGAATATTTTTTTACTACTTAAGACTAAATGACAAGAATTAAAAATTCGATAACTAAAAATTGTCCTAATTACTTACTATATAATAGAAAAAAATTAAATTAGTCTTGTCTGACTGAATTTTTGCTTCTACTACTTATATTTAAATTGTAAGGAATTATTTGATTTAATATTGATTTTACTACTTGAAACTAAATTACAAGAATTATAATTCCGTCTGCCTTAAAATTTCACTTACTACTTATTCCGTATTAGGAAAAATTATATTATTTTTACCTGACTACATTTTAACTTATTACTTCCACTACTTAAATTTAAATTCTAAGAAATCGTTTGATTTATACCTCATATTGATTTTACTACTTGCAATACAATTTCAAGAATTATAAATTAGTCTGACTACAAATTGCACTTACTACTTATACTTTAATTGGAAAAATTAATTTTGTCTTGTCTGACTAAAGTTCTATTTCTACTACTTACATTTATTAAATATAAGTACATTTACTGTGGATTTAAATAAAAATGATTTATTTTAATAAATTTAAATAAATACGTCGTTTATGTTTTGTCTGACTAAAATTGTTTGTTACTACTTTTATTTCTAAGTAGTCACTGCACTGTCTGAGCGAAAATTTACTTTACTACTGAATTTTTACTTACATTAAATTAATATATATTCCATGACTTAAATTTTTTTCTACTACTGAAATAACATCAATTTTGTCTTACTGTACACTGATTTTATCACTGATTGAAAAAAATATGAATTCAAAAATTTTTTCCTAAAGTAATCTTCACTTTTCTAGTTACAAAACTTTTATTGTGCGTTCACTAATTTATTTCATTATTTAATTATTAATTTATAAATTTTAAGTAATTGTCCAACTAAAACTGACCTCTACTACTTTTAATCTGAAAAAATCCACTTTTTAACTTTTACATTTTATGAGAAATAAAATAGCTCTATTCAATTGGTTTTTTAATTAAAACAAAGTAATTAAAAGCAAAGATTTTACCTTCAATTGGCGGAGAAATATATGAATCCTCAGAGCTTGCATTTGAATTTTTGAATTCAGAGAGAATTGTGGGTAACTGCCAAGTGAAATATTTTTAGTCACTAAGGGTGAATCTACTCTCTACTATGTCGATAACATTTTCCATCCTTATCATGGTTGGAAATTTTGTTAACATATGGTAAAACTTCTGGGTAACTTACCGCTTCTCGCCAATGGATAAAGTCGCAGTTTTCTGTAATATTACCGACGAGGGAAATCGATATTTTAAATTCTTTTTGAAAAATTAATCCGACATGTGTAACAAAACAAAAAAAAAAATTAAGAAAACTTCAAATTAGTAAATGATCAAAATTTTCTGCAATTTCGAAAAGTAATTTTTTTTATTTTATTTATTTTTTTTTTATTTTTTTTTTATTTTTTTTTAATTTTTTTCTTTTTAATTTTAATTTTTTTTTTTCTTTCTTATTGTTTCTTTTTTTCCATAATATTTCATTTTCGTCGAAAACAATTTAGAAGTTCTAAATATATATTATATTGTAAATTTCGTTTAATTATAAAATACGTATTTGTAAGTAAAAATACTATCTTCCAAAAGAATTTTCTATTTTTTAAAAATTAAATTTTCTTTTAAAAATTAAAGAATAAAAAATTAATTGCATATTTTTTTGCTAATTTTCATGTAAAGTTTTCCATATAGTAAATGTTTTATTAAATTTTACTAAATGTTGTATTAAATATTAAGTTTAAATTAAAAAAGTTAAATTAAATTATAACATATCTTTGTTAATTCCTTTGCTAATGATCTTTGGAGAAATCGATTTTAATTGTAACTAATAGTTATGGAATTGTTTTCAGAAAGCTATACAAATTCAGAATTTGATAGAGAATCTACATTAGTTAACTTCATAATAAAGTTGAGAATATCGAGTCAAATGATTAACGATTAATGATGATATAAAGCTTAAGTTTATACACCAGTTTTGGTAAGCAAGATGCATTACACTTTCGAAACTATACTAATTTCATGTGCCTAAAATTAGAATATTAATGAAACAGTGATTTTGCAATAATTCCCATTTTTCATTATTATGATTTATTTATTATTTAATATTATTATTTTTAAATCAAATATTTCATCGAAATTATAGAACCAAATAATTATTTATAGGTATTTTTAATGGTAATTAGAATTAAATATTTTTAATTAATAGATAATAAATAATAATTACTAATTTTATAATTTATAATACATCATTAATGAAATAACTTTAATTTCTTTCTATGATTATTTAGCAAAGAATAAAATTATATTTTAATGTAAAAAATAAAATTCGTGGTAAATTGAAATTAAAAATGGATAATAAATAATTTTTGTTTATTCGTCTTGAAATAAATTTATTCTCGTTTAATAATATCGAAATGGTATAATCATGTGAAAACGTATGGCGTAAATTCTTTCCATTTTA